CAGAATCTACTTCAGTGACGGAGCACTTAAATACGCTGAACACTTTATTTTCTCAGCTTACATCCTTAAGATGTATAATAGGAGAACAAGAACGTGCTGAACTTCTACTTCAAAGTCTACCTGATTCGTATGATCAACTCATTATCAACTTGACAAACAATAATGTCACTAATCTAGTCTTCGATGATGTTGTAGCTGCAGTTCTACAAGAAGAAAATCAACACAAGAATAAGGAAGACATACAAGTAAATCTGTAACAAGAAGAATCGTTGACAACGATGAGAGGGAGATCAACAGAACGTGGCCAAAGCAACAGTCACAAACATGGTAGATCGAAGTCGAGAAGCAAGAAGAATTTAAAGTGTTGTGGAAAGAAGGGTCACTTGAAGAAGGATTGTTGGAGTCTAAATAAAAACTCCAATCCACAAGTAGTACCGCAAACACTTCAGATGATGGAGATGCTCTATGCTGTGAAGCGTTCAACCACCATGGAAGGTAGAAAAAGATTTGCAGATATATGGCTCATTGATTCGGGAGCAACATATCACATGACCTCAAGAAGAGAATGGTTACATCATTATGAACCTGTCTCAGGAGGATCTGTGTATAGTTGCAATGATCATGCCTTAGAGATCGTTAGCGTGGGAACCATCAAATTGAAGATGTATGATGGAACAATTAAAATTGTTCGAGATGTGCGACACGTGAAAGGCTGAAGAAAAATTTATTGTCCTACGGATTGTTGGATAATAATGCAACAAAGATTGAAACAAGGAAAGAAATCATGAAGATGTTCCGTGGAGCGCTTGTGGTGATGAAAGACGAAAAGATAACAGCAAACTTGTACGTGCTGAAAGGAGAGACTTTGCTAGAAGCAGAAGCCTCTGTTGCCTTATGTAGTTCAGATTCTGCAATGCTATGGCATCAGAAACTTGGACCCATGTCAGAACAAGGAATTAAAGTCATTGTGGAGAAAAAAGCTACTTCCAGGCTTAACAAATGTATCACTTACTTTGTGTGAGCATTGTATAATAAGTAAGCAACACCGGTTGAAATTCAACACATCAAGTTCTAGAGGCAAAAGTGTTCTAGAATTGGTTCACTCTGACGTATGGAAAGCACCAGTTACATCCCTAGGCGGAGCAAAATACTTTGTCTCATTTATTAATGACTACTCTAGGAGATGTTGGAGGTACCCTATTAAGAAGAAGTCAGACGTGTTTTCCACTTTCAAAAACTTCAAAGCGCGAGTGGAACTTGATTATGGAAATAAGATCAAGTGTTTCAAAACAGATAATGGAGGAGAATACACAAGTGAAGAATTTGATGACTTTTGCAGGAAAGAAGGCATTCTAAAGATAGTTCACAGTGGCGAACACTCCTCAACAAAATGGAGTGACAGAGCGGATTAACAGAACCATGTTAGAAAGAACAAGAGCAATGTTGAGGGATGCAGACCTAGAAAAATCATTTTGGGCAGAACCAATTTCTACCCCTCTTCCTATTAACTTAAAATTATCCTCCAGTATGAGTCATAGCAATGAAGAAGAGATGATGGAGATGTCTAGAGTGCCGCATGCATCGGTAGGGAAGATTAATATTCGCTATGATATGCACAATACCAGACATTACATAAGCAGTGGGAGTGGTTAGTCAGTACATGGTGAATCCAGGCAAAGAGCATTGGAATACAATAATGAGGATCCTGAGATACATTAAAGGGACCTCAAATGTTGCATTATGTTACGGAGGATCAAACTTACTTATCAATGGGTATGTCGATTCTGACTATACAGGGGATTTGGATAAAAGCAATTCTACTACATGATATATGTTCAAAGTTGCTAGTGGAGCTGTAAGCTGGGTTTCAAAATTACAGTCAGTTGTGGCTACATCCACAACAAAGGCAGAATATGTAGCAGCTACACAAGCTAGTAAAGAAGCAATTTGGTTGAATATGCTATTGGAGGAGCTTGGACACAATCAAGAGTATGTCTCTCTATTTTGTGATAGTCACAGCGCCTTGCATCTAGCAAGGAATCCAACATTTCATTCAAGAACAAAGCACATACGAGTTCAATACTATTTCATTCGTGAAAATGTGGAAGAAGGGACATTAGATATGCAGAAGATCCATACCAAAGACAACATAACAAATTTCATGACGAAGGCAATCAATGCTGATAAATTTACCTGGTGTCGATCCTCTTGTGGCCTGTCAGAAACATAAGCAACATGAAGGTACAAGGTAGAAAGAATGGTTTGAAGATATGATTATTCCAATCAAATCTTCAAGTGGGAGATTGTTAAAAGTCAAGCAACAAGTTGGTCAAACTTTCGGTGCCAACTTGTGCCAAATTGTTGAATGAATTTTTCGGTGCAATGGTCAAAAGTTGCAACTAAATGATTGAAAAAATGGTAAAATCTCAAATTTAGTCATTGTACTTTAGGATATTTACAAGATTAGTCCTTAAACTTCAACTAAATACCTAACCCATTTAGCTTCAAATCCATCCCAAATCATTCTAGCTTTCTCCCAATATTAGAGAATTTAAAGAGTTTTCTTGAGAGTTGTTTTCTCCTTTTTATCAAGAGATAATTGTTATTGTTTTCTCCTTGTTAGATCAAGAGAATTGTAATTCCTATTTTCTCATAGTGAATTTCTCCTACCGTTGCCTGTGATTTTTACACTATATATTTAGGGTTTTCCACGTAAAATTTGTGTATTCTTTATTTCATTTTTATTTTCTCAAATTATCAGTTGCGATTTTGCTCTATTCGATATTCGTATTTCACAACATATGTATTATCATTGTTACTATTTTTTACATTATCAATCTGTTACGACTTTCATTATTATGTTACGTAATCCCATAGCAGGGATTTAAGAAAAAATGATCCCACAAGGCCAAAATCTCTCAATTTCTCCTGTCAATTTCTTCAAAATACGACCCTATTTTGGATGAGCTAAGTGTTGTTGGTTGCCTCACATCCATTGCTGAATTTAATGTGGTAACATATTACTGTTACTGTGTAAGAGTTGAAGGGAAAAATGCCAAGATAATGCAGAATGGGAAAAAATCCCATTCTAACGTGGTTCCAACTTTATTTTCTCATCTACGGCATTTTCTACAGTACACGCCTAAAGATCCAGATATCTCGCCGTCTTTAGTTGAAATAGGGGTGTTGCTGCATGTTAGTAATTTTTATTTGTTTAAGGTGTTTTAATGGCAGAGATGGAGAAAAGAATAGAGGCGCCAAAGAGCATGCAAAACGATAGAGCCAGAGGTGTTTTTACAGTGAGGGAATAGAAAGAGGCTAAGAAAGACCCTCAAAAGGTATCTCATAAATCCAGTGTTGTAATTCGCAGAAGACTCACTTCTACCAATTACAATCATGGTCTCACCAGGTATGAATATAAATCATGATTTTTCTTGGCTCCTTATGATGGTTTGAAAAAAAAACATGAAATTTTATTTGTTTTCAGGCATTTTCACTCTTTTCTTTTCTGGATTTTGTTTACCCTTTTCTTGATTTTTGAGAAGTTGGTGGGTTGAATTTTGTTTTTTCTCTACCTAAATCAGCTGGAGATGGTTACGTTTTTCCCCCAGAAGCCATCTGCCAGCAATTATGGATTTTCCAAGAAAATGACTAAATGATTTTGTGACTGTTGTTTTTTTTCTCTCAGCAGCCAAATACGGTGTTAAGAAATTTCCCATGTAAAACTTCTATAATGAAAACAAGCAAGGAGACTCAACTTTTATGAAGGAGAAAGCAACGAAAAGAAACCCAAGAAGACGCCTAGAATTCCCGGCCACCTCCACATGCAGCAGCAACCCTATTTCAACTAAAGACATCGAGTAATCTCCATGGATTATGCATGTAAAATTTTAGCCTGAAGACGCCGAGATATCCCGGGATCTTTAAGTTTGTACTGTAGAAAATTCCCTAGATGGAGAAATAATGTTGGAACCACGTTAGAATGGGAATTTGTTTTCCATTCTGCATTATCCTGGCATTTTTGCCAGAGTTGAAGTTCATCTATTATTGTAAATAAGATAAATAAATTTAAAGTTATTTAAATTCAATTCAATAAATTCGATCAATATTAAATTCAAGTAATTTAATTTAAGTTCAAAATTAACTTAAGTTTTTATGACGAACTATTTGATACTTAACATAAAAAATTAACGAACTATTCAAAAATAATATATTAATTTTCTTAAATTAAATTCTTAATAATCTTAATTTTTTTTAATAATCATTTAATAATTCTAAAAAAGTGTATTTTTTTAATAAGAATGGACATGATAATTGAGATTATCAATACCCAAAATTCAAATATAAAAAACAACGGTCACAGTAATTTTTTATATTTTCAATGGACTGATTTTTCTAAAAAGAAATTAAATAAAAACATTAGACGGCTAAGATTTGAAGGAATGAAGGTGACAAATCGCCATTATTTTGTGGAAGCTATAATATTTGATTTCGAGTTTGATGATTTTAGACTAATGAGATTTCAAATCGAACAGAATTTAAATTTACTTTTTTAAGATTAAATCAAACTCAACAACGTTCAAATTCAATATATCTCATTTACAATTTTAGGTTCAGGGTCAAATCACTACAAGCCCTAATTTACAGCAAGTGCCGAGTTCATTTTTTGAGCTCCAGGGTCAACTCGGCCATGAGGGTTAGCATCTAAGATAAAACAAAGTCATTATTGATCCAAAGCAAGTGAAAAATGCAGTACGAGAGCAAACAGAAGAGGTGTTGGCTTGACAAAATAAGATTAAAGCGGACAAACCAAAGAGAAACCTTGGTTAAGCAAACATTGTTTATACGAAAACTAGGACACCCGGGAAAATTACTCTCCAAAGCAGAACGAGCAATAAAAATTGTCACAAAAGGGACATGCGTTGCCGTTGAAAGATAGAATCAAATTGGCGAGAAGAGAAGCACACAGAAACTTATATATGCATACAGGAAACTAGCAAAACCTTAATTATTTCTCTCCTAAACAAACTTCAATGGTGCTCTTCGGTCTCCTCCTCCTACCAATCCTTCTCCTCCTCCTCTTCATTGTTCGACCCCGCCCGGTTAACATACCTATTAAAAAGCGCCATGTTTTCATAACAGGCTGCTCAATGGGCATCGGTCTAGCCATAGCCAAACAAGCTGCATCGGAGGGAGCAGGCATTTCCCTTCTGGTTCGCTCCCTGGACCAGCTCGAAAAGGCCAAGCAATCGATCCATCAAGTGTACGAAGTTGAAGTCTCGATCTTTTCTGCCGATGTCCGTGACTATGATTCTGTCGAGTGTGCGATAAACAAGGCCGGCCCCATCGATATTCTAGTAGTTAACCATGGGGTGTATTATTTGGAGGAGCTTGAGAAACAAGGCGTAGATGTGGTGAAGATAATGGTAGACGTGAACTTGATGGGAAGTTTCAACGTCATTAAAGCTGCTTTGCCGTTGATGAAGGATAGAAAAGACAGGGGACCTGCCTCCATTGCTCTTATGTCTTCAATGGCCTGCCAGGTTTTAAAATTTTAGCTTAATTGATGTCTTTCAGCTTTTAATGATAATCTTCTAATTAATATATAATGTAGCTATTTTGACATATATATTAATGAATATAGGTGGGTACATATGGTTTTGCGGCTTATTCAGCCACCAAATTTGGGCTTTGAGGATTAGCAGAAGCATTGCAACAGGAAGTTTTGGCAAACAACATTCATCTCTCTATAATTTTCCATCCCCTGTTGAAACTCCAGGTTACGAACAAGGTTTGAATAACAAGTGTCTGTCTCTAGGAACTAAAGCTTAATTCTCCATCTCAGTTTATGGGAATTGAATTCAATCATTTGAAAAAGAAATATCAGTTTCATGCGTAGTTTGCAATCTGTTCAACACTGCCATCCAAGTGATTATTGAACGGCTAGGAAAGTGGAATTTATAACACTAGTTTCTCCCGTACAACTTTCTCTCTTTTGCTTCTTATCACATTCCTGATTTCAGAGATTGGGTGTTTAAGATCAAAAGCACCAGATAAACAGTGGTTACTAAGCTTCTGAGCTTGAGAATCCTTCTCCATATCAAGTTACAGTTAACGTTCTCATTCATTAAACATTTCACTTGTTTATGCATTAAACATTTCACTTGTTCTTATCACATAAACATGCATATCAATACACTACGGCCGGTGAACATGAAATAAATGATAATCCTATACAATTTCAAGGCTTCTGTGGCCCGATGCAATGCCTTCAACCACTTGGACATCCGAGTCGAATTAGACTTAGGGTGCGTTTGGTTCACGGAATGTAATATTACCAGTGGGAATAAAATATTATCAGATAATAGGATTACTGAGAATGTTATATTACTGTGTTTGGTGGTTTGGACAGGAATGTAAGATTACCATGTTTGGTTGAAAGAATAAAAGATTACTGGAATGCATATTTTACCAAATTGTCCTTGTTCTATATTTTTAACAAGTAAAATTCTAAATATTTAAATAAAAATTATTTATATAAAAATTCTATCTGTTGATAATATATTATTTGAGTATTTAAATATATCATGTATTATTTTAATTTTAATTAATGTTAAATTTTACATAATTTATGGTAAAAATATATTAATGTTTACATTGTGGAACTAGCTTCAGTTCATATATGACACATTCACTGGAAGGTTCTTGTAATTTTCAATCGACAAGGTTTACATTTTTCTATATACAATAATTTAGTCATTTGATTCATACTTAACCGGATTAGTATCCGCAACAAATGTTAAAACATAGAGAATTTAATAATAATTCATAGATTAAAACATAAACATCCGGTAAACAATCTATAGTAACAATCCTGAAGCTCTAGTTAAAGAGAATGTCACAAAACAACTATTAGAATAGATGGCAATTGCCATCTAATTGACCATCATCCATGGTCCATACACATGGCCTTCTTCTCAAGTTGAATGCAAGAGAAGAAGACTATTTCGGGCTTTCCGTCTACTTTTTTGCATAAGTAATCAACATCTGGTTTTGCTACATCTTGAAACCTCGTAGTGCCTGCATCGCAACTGTTGATTGCATCTCGTTTTCATGCTCCACAAAGGCAATACCTGGTTTTGTTTCCACCATTCTGACATCTTTTAAACCAGGGTATTGATTGAAGAGCATTTGCAACATCATTGTGGTTGCATCATGAGGAAGATTCTTTTTTTTATGGAAATTGAGCAAGACAAACTAAAGATAGATTCAACAACGATGACCAGGGTCTCAAACAAAACATGACAGATTTTAGAAATAAAAGCAGATTTTAGAAAACTATCATTGCAGTCACAATTATTGCTCAAATGCAACCTCACTTCTTCTTGGCGGCAAATTTGGTGACCTTGGCACCGGTTGAGTCCTTCTTTTCGACGCTCTTGATGACGCCAACAACAACGGTCTGGTGCATGTCCCTCACAACGAAACGTCCAAGAGGTGGGTACTCCGAGAATGTCTCCACAACCAGAGGCTTGGTCGGAACCATCTTCATCATCCCTGCATCACGGTTCTTCAAGAACTTGGGCTCCTTCTCAAGCTCCTTCCCAGATCGCCTGTCAATCTTGGTCAACAATTCAGCAAATTTCACGGTAATGTGGGAGGTGTGATAGTCGAGAACTGGGGCATATCCATTTTCAATCTGAACAGGGTGGTTCATGATAATGACTTGTGAGGTGAAGTTGGCTGCCTCTTTGGCAGGATCATCCTTTGAGTTCGAAGCAACATAACCACGCTTGAGATCCTTAACAACAACATTCTTAACATTGAACCCAACGTTGTCACCAGATAGAGCCTCCGGGAGGGATTCATGGTGCATCTCAACAGACTTAACTTCAGTGGTTAGACCAGTGGGGCCAAAGGTCACGACCATTCCAGGTTTAAGGACACCAGTTTCAACACGACCAACAGGGACAGTTCCAATACCACCAATCTTGTAGACGTCCTGAAGTGGATTCTGAATAACATAATGTTATTTGGTGGCGCGGGAGCTTCTGGAACAATTGGTCTAGCACCCAGGTAGGGTAATTGTAATAGCTGCAGTATTTTGGAGGAAAAGAAGGAGAGAGTAATGAGAAATATCTACTCTCTTAACATTCTCCTTTTTCTTGATATGTAACTGATACTAATTTCAAAGTAAAAAATATAACTAGACCCTCAAACAAATAACCATGTTTTTCATTCGATTGCAACTCAAAAGTATCTAATTTTCAACTGTTAGTGTTGTGCACCATCACAAGTCTCATAGAGTATAATGATATAGAATGGTCAAGTTCACTTAGCATCCGAGATTTCATCAGAGCAAACAAATAGGCCAGAAGTTTTCAACACAACAAAGCAAAGAAAATTCCCATGTAGTTGAATAAAGATGCTCTTGCAGCAACCTAATTCTCAGAAGTTATAAATTTGGACAAAGACTGGAATATATAACCTTCTAAATAATCCATACTAACAGAATAATAAAAGTTAATTTCAACCAGGGTTCATATAGAGAGAGAAACATGGTCGATCCATAATAAGACACTATATTCATATCACTTACAGGAGGTGTTGCACCGTAAGCACCCACATAACCTGGATTCAAACATGCACAACAATTAGCAACACAAGTTGAGAGAAAGAAGATAAAGTGCAATATAAATGCAAAGTAGACAAGCCAACTGTTGGATATACAACCTGAAGAACACTGAATCCACCCTCTGCAAAATTTTGTTGGTAGAGCCCAATATTTGCTCCATTTACTATGGCTTCATAATTGGCATTTTTTTCCAACCAATCATGTATTAATGATTTATAAAATAATAAGTTTTCGCCAAAATTATCGAATTTCTATACAAGTTTTCGCCAAAATTTATGAAATAACAATGACATACCCAATTACCCATTGATAATCCAAATTAAAAAGAACAAAAGAATTATATGAAATACTATGAGAATTCAATTAATGTGCAATCGAAGTTTCCAGCTTTTTAAAGTGTAAGCTTAGGGAATCCAAAGTAAATTGATAAGAAAACGGAATTGAAGGTTTACATACTTGACGAGGGAGATAAGGCGTTTCTCGGCGGCGATGATTTGATCGGTAGATGTTGGAATTAAACGGAGAACAGACGGCCATGAGGATTTTCGTTTGACTACGGCGGTTTATGCAGAGGATTGAAATTCGGGTTGGTTAGTTTCTTCCACCATTTTTATAGAAATCAAACTGGAAGAACTATGGAGAGAGCGGTTCGTACAATGTATGGGTTGTTTCTTTGCTTTGAGGATGGGAAAACACAAGCATTTTTCTTCGTTTTTATATGCAAAAGATTTGATTTTGAGTCTACGTTTGAATATTATAAGAGATTAGGAAAAAGAAAAAGAAGGTGGTAATGAATCAGAATGCGTTTACTGAAGCCATAGAATTATATAACACGAACGAAAACAGAAAACAGAACAAATCTAGATTTCATATAAAACGATGAATTTCACTGCTGCTGAGAAAATAAAACAAAGAGAGTGAGAAGAAATCTTACCAGGAGAATGGGAAAATGAAATTTTTCGCAGAGGCAAACTCGGAGAAGAAGATATGCAGAGACAAACGGGGAAACGAAGGGTATTTTAACCCTTAACACGAGAATGAAAAAATACCTAAGATACATGTAGGAATAACATTCCCAGGAATAAACACCCCAACATATATTGTTGGTATTGAAAGATTACCCGAATCTTACCCAACCAAACATGGGCATCTTTAATCAGGAAAAAAAATGACGGCTGAGAATGATAGAATCCTTGATCCAAACACACTCTTAGAATGTTACATTTCACCTCCAAAGAACCTCTTATTTCCTCTATTTTCCCCTTTTTTTTGCTAGATTTTCTTCAAATTTTCATAAATTAAATTTCGTGTCATTGTGTTCATGCACTTCCCTTCTATAGAGAACCTCATTTTTTCTATATTTTTTCAAATTTTCATATCTTTTTCTGGGGGACATTTCATGTCCTTGTGTTCACGCATTTTCCTTTTACAGATCATAGTTCGAGAATAAATATCAAGGTAAAACTATATTTTCTTCAAAAAAATATCTAAATAACATTCAATTATTCATATCAAAATTAAATTATTTTTAAAATATCAGTTAAGACCTAAACAATTCTCGAAAGTATATAAATAGATTCCATTTGATTATATTTATTTTAATATTAAAACAGAATTATAAAAGATAAATTTTAAAGGATATGAAGGTAGTTCATAGTATCATATGGAGTAACTTATAATACGATGGTTCATTATGGGTTAATATATTATTATGAATGAAGATAACGATTTATAGTTTATTCCTTTAGAATAGACTTAGGGTCATTAGATGCAATTAAATTTAAGATGTTTTCCTACTAAATTCAAAGAGAATATCGTGGGGTGTTATCTTAATGAAATAGATGCCTATATATATTTGTTGGGGAAACCGGGTTATTTTTCACACGAACGTAGTTTCAAAATTGACCTAAAATGTCAAGATCAAAACTACCAAAGGTTGCACAGTGGATAAACCTGTCAAACTATTGAATATTGAAACACAATGAAAAAACCGAATAAAAAAATAAAGGAGAGAACACACTAAATTTACGAGGTTCGACAAGAATATCGTCTACTCCTCGGACACCACACCGGATGATAACTTCACTATAAAAAAATATTACAATAAATAGAATTCTTTAGAATTCCCAAAGTGAGAGAATGAAGAAAACAAATGGAAGAGAGAATTTGTTTTTGGGATGATTTCTAATGGAAATACTTAGGCCTATTTATAGTTGAGTTTTAAGGACTAAACTTATAAATAACCTAATATTTTAGGGATCAAATATGAAATTCTCATGTTCAAAGCTTGGTCACCTACAAAAAAATTTTCCAATGTGTACAAGTTAGCCACCAAATATGAAATTCCCATGTTCAAAGTTTGGCCACCAACCAAGATGAAATTTCCAACTTGCCAACTTAATTTCAAGAAAAATCTAACAAATCTCCACCTTGGCTTGAAATTACCAAGCCTACTCAACTTCTTCAACTCCCCAAATTTGTAGTGCCTCTAATTGCGCTCACAAGCGCCACACACCCGAAGGTGTTCATACTTTCAGGATGTTAATCAAGGTCAAACAATGATTGAACTTGATTACTGTTACCACCTTGGTCATCATATCTGTAGGATTTTCTGATGTCGCAATTTTCTGAAGTAGAATCTTTCCTTCTTCAAAGATCTCCCACACAAAGTGATACCTCACGTCGATATGCTTAGTCCTTGAATGATAGACTTGATTTTTCATCAAGTGAATAGTGCTCTGACTGTCACAATAGAGACTAATGTGACTTTGAACAACTCCCAAGTCTTCCATCAACCCGTTAAGCCAAATTGCTTCCTTTACAGCCTCTGAAACTACCATGTATTCTGCCTCTGTTGTAGACAAGGCCACTGTAGATTGCAATGTAGACTTCCAACTTACTGGGGCTTTAGCAAGAGTAAACAAATACCCAATAGTTGATTGACGCTTATCCAAATCACCAGCATAATCAGAATCGGCATATCCAACCACACACTGACCAAGTGCTTCATCCTGTTCAAAAACTACACCAACATCCACGGTTTGTTGGAGATACCGTAGAATCCATTTCATAGCTTACCAATGTACTTGTCCAGGATCATGCATGTACCTTCTCACAACTCCAACTGCTTGTGAAATATCAGGACGCATACACACCATTGCATACATCAAGCTCCCAACTGCATTAGCATATGGAACTTTTTCCATATACTCTCGTTCTTCGTTAGTTTTAGGAGATAATTGAGAACTAAGTTTCAAATGAGAAGACAGTGGGATACTTACATGTTTGGTATTTTCATTCATGCCAAAACATTGTAATACCTTTCTCAGATACTACTTTTGTGTTAAATAAAGCTTCTCTATCTGACTACTTATCTCCATACCAAGAATCTTCTTGGCCTCACCTAGATCTTTCATCTCAAACTCTTGATTCAATTGAGCCTTTAATTTGTCTATCTCCTTTTGACTCTTCGAAGCGATCAACATATCGTCAACGTACAAGAGAAGATAAATGAAAGATCCATCTTTGAGCTTTTGCAAATACAAACAATGATCATATTTGCTTTTAGTGTACTTTTGCCTCCTCATAAAGCTATCAAATCGCTTGCAGCACTTCCTCAGAGATTGCTTCAATCCATATAGCAATTTGTTCAGCTTACAAACCCATTTCTCACAACCACCATCTTCGTATCATTCTGGCTGAGTCATATTGATCTCCTCTTCTAAATCACCATGCAAGAAAGCCGTCTTTACATCACGTTGAGCTAGCTCCAAATTCAACTGTGCTACCAAGGCCAACAATATTCTAATGGAGTAATGCTTCACAACAGGGGAAAATACTTCATTGTAGTCGATTATCTCCTTTTGAACGTAGCCTTTAGCTACCAACTGTGCCTTATAGCGAACATCTTTCTTGCTATAATATCTATCTTTCTTTGCAAATACCCACTTGCATCCAATTGCTCTTTTACCTTTCGGTAATTGTGTCAGTTTTCAAGTGTCGTTCTTTTGAAGAGATTTCATTTCTTCATCCATAGCACTTTTCCACTTATCACTTTCCAAGCTTTGCATTTCTTCTTGGTAAGTGATAGGGATATCATCATCAACAACTAGAAGAGCATAGGCCACCATATCAAAAAATCGAGCATGTCTACGAATTTCTCTCCTTGTCCTTGTAACTGCAAGTGGTTATGGTGTCTCCAATAGTTCTTGGGCTTGAACCTCTTCATCGTCTGATTCTTCTATTGGATTTGAAGAATCAGCTGCATCAACTTCTAGGATCATCGTCTACTGAAACTCCACATGTTTTGGAGTATGCTCCACCTGCTGCAGAGTACTATTTGTCTGGACAACTTCATTTTGTTACCTTCTTTACTAGGGCAGATTCATCAAATG